TCATTTTGTTTCAACAGCACAGTACAGGATTGTCCAGGTCCCAACATGATCTTGGTTCAAGCTCTGCCCAGTTTTGGGGATCTTCTATAGCTGTTTACTTAGTGTGTGTGTGTATGTAATGTATATAAATGATTATTCACAGAGAGGGAGAGTTAGAAAGACCAATGAGAGAGAAACATCAATCAGCTGCCTCCTGCACACAACCCACTGGGGATGTGCCCACAACCAAGGTACATGCCCTTGACCAGAATCAAAACTGGGACCTTTCAGTCAGCAGGCCCACACTATTCACTGAGCCAAACCAGTTTCTGCTAATTAGCTTCTTTACTCAAGAATTGGTAGGGGGTTCCGCAATCCCCCTTCCTCTCCAGGGTATTCTCTGACCTGGACTCCTATGGTACCTTTGGGCTCCCTGCCTTATTTCACTGAGCCCAGAGGAGAGAAATCCTGGTCCTCTGTAAGCTACAAACCAGGGTCTTAGTAGTTTTTGTAAAGATGGTGTTAGCACAGTATTTGCTTGCTGAATAGCATGCTTAAATTTCAATTGTTTGTGTGGTTTTTCTCTTTTGCTGGTTCTAGTGCTTAGTTTCATTTTCTTTTCTTTGTAGTGCTCATTATTGTGATTAAAAAGAGTGTTTTTGGTCACCTAGCTGGCACTTGAGAAATTGAGCATCCTCACGGTAACTACAACTTTTCCTCTGTAAACCTAATTTCATCCCACAAACTTTAAAAACTGACTAGATACAAATTTGATTTGAAAATAAATAACTCCCTCTTCCATCAGTGTTTTCCTTTTGAAACAGAAATCAGCTGGCAGCAGTTTACACTCTTTCAGACACAGAGACCGATTTTCAGAGAAGGCAATGGTTTGAGACACTAAAAAGGAAGCCCTCGCTGGTTTGGCTCAGTGGATAGAAGTTTGGTCTGCAGACTGAAGGGTCCTGGGGTTCGATTCCCATTAAGGGTACATGCCCAGGTTGCAGGCTCAATCCTCAGTAGGGGGGAGTGCAGGAGGAAGCCGATCAATGATTTTCTCTCATCTTTGAACTATCTCCCTCTCCCTTTCTCTCTGAAACCAATAAAAATATATATTAAAAAAGGGAGGGGGGGTAGGAAGGGGAGGATAGAAAACTTTGAGACACCCTGGATTTTCACAATAAAATTTTGCTTTTTAGTTTATGGATCTTGTCATTTTGGGGATTCAATGGTATTGCCTGCAGATGACACACCATCACTTTTAGCTGAGTAGAAAACTCTTAGAGTCCCCCCATAATGGCCGCATCTAAAAGAAATAGGTGTTTGACTTCATAAGTAACTGTGTGTGACATCATGCCTACATCCCCTATCAGATACTCGTGTCTAGGTTAAGCTTTTTCAACAAAATATTATTCCACTACATGCCCTCCAAAATTAAGAGTAAATGAATGAATGAAAGAATGAATGAATGAATAAATAAATAAATAAATAAATAAATAAATAAATTAGAGAGGAGAAACCTAAATAAATAAATTAGAGAGGAGAAACCTAAATGGCAGCATAGGTAAATGCCTAACTGCAACCTCGCATAACAATTTCAAAAAATACAAAGTGGACATCATCCAGAACTACAGGAAAATTGACTGACTGGAAATTCTACAACTAGAAGTTCAAAGAAAACCAGAAGGAAAATCAGAGGAGCTTTAAAAGTCTAAGGTACAGAGACACGGTGCGCGTGTTGGGAGAAGACTGATCTGGAGAGGAGGGGGCAGCTGAGTGCCTGGCTGGTGTTCCCTAGCAGGAAGGAGATAAAAGCTCCGGACTGTGCTGAACCCCAGTTCTAGGCCAGACCCTGGGAACCCAGGCTCATATGGAGGGAATCTGGGCTGTATGGCGGTAACCCAGTGGAGCAGCAAAAGGCAGAGTCCTAAAGGCCCACTCATTACGCACAGAGGACGGACTGTTGACTGTGCTGTTGTATTGCCCTGGCTGGAAGAAGACAAAGGCTCTGGACTGCACTGAACCCCACTTCCAATCCCACTTCCAACTGCACTGAACTCCAGTTCCGGGCTCATTGTGGGAGAGACTAGACTGTCTGGTAGCGGGCGAAACTCGAGGGCACCTTTCTCTCAGAAGTACTTGCAGGGAATACCAAAGGCAATGAGGAACACAGACTCAGGAACCTCATAGGGCAGGGCTAGTTGTAGAATTTCCAGTCAGTCAACTTTCCTGTAGGCTCCACCCTGAAACTCCGCCCCATCCAAGTTGAGCACAGAGGCTTTTGCAATTTTCCAAGTCTAGTAGAATAAGGCTGTCTCCTGGCATAGACACAGCTGATTCTCACAACCAGTTGGCCTGGAAGTCAGTTCCTCCCAGTGATACCAACAACAATCAAGACTTAACTACAATAAGGCTACTACACACAGTCCTTAAAGGGGTGCACCAAGAGTGTTCACCTCAGGTAACTGGGAGACTGACCCACTGAACCATATAGGATACCTTAGCACACAATGCCACCCTACCAACTCAGAGAAGCTGTGAAATGCTGAGACAAGGAAACAGATCACAAACAAAAGAAATGAAGGACAAAAAGCAATTGGATATAGAGTTCAAAACCACAGTTATAAGGTTTTTCAAGAATTTCCTAGAAAAGGTGGATAAAATAAATGAGACCTTTGAGGATATGAAAAGGGATCAACTAGAAATAAAGAATACATCATCTGAAATAAAGAATATTATACAGAGTCCTAAAAACAGAATGGAAGATCACAAGAATCAAGTCAAAGATTTGGAACATAAAGAGCCAGAAGACACTCCTCTGCAGAAGCAAGAAGACAAGAGAATCCAGAAAGTTGAAGATAATGTAAGAAATCTCTGGGACAACTTCAAGCAAAACATCAGAATTATGGGGGTCCCAGAAGAGAGAGAGCAAGATACCTAAAACATATTGAAAGAAATAGTGAAAGAAAACTTCCCCCACTTGGTGAAAGAATTAGACTTACAAATCCAGGAAGTACACAGAACCCCAAACAAAAAGAATCCAAAGAGGACCACACCAAGACACATCATAATTAAAATTCCAAGACCAAAAGACAAAGAGAATATTAAAAGCAGCAAGAGAAAAGCAGGTAGTTACCTATAAAGGAGCACCCGTACGATTGTCAGCTGATTTCTCAACAGAAACCATGCAGGCCAGATGGGAATGGAAAGAAATATTCAAGGTGATGAATAACAGAACCTACAGCCAAAAATACTCTCTCCAGCAAAGCTATTACTCATAATCAAATGCCAGATAAAGAGCTTCACAAATAAAAATAAATAAATAAAGGAGTTCATCATCGCCAAACCACAATTATATGAATTGCTGAAGGGGTTCTTTAGGAGGAGGAAGAAGATAAAGATAAAAATTATGAACAACAAATACATAACTATCAACAAGTGAATCTAAAAACCAAGGGAATTAAAAAATCTGATGAATAGTATTAACTGGTGAATATAATAGAATCAGAGGTATGGAAGGGGAGTGAATTGACGATTCTTGGGGAAAAGAGTGGGGTGTGGGGGGAAAATACTGAACAAAAACTGTGCACCTATGGATGAGGACAACGGGGGGGTGGGCAAAGGGCAGAGGGTGGCGTGGGAACCTGGTAAAGGGGAGCAATGGAGGGAAAAAATGAGGAACATTTGTAATAATATGAATAATAAAGATTAATTTAACAAAAGAAAAAATATAAATTTTTATTAAAGTGTTCTATTATTTTATGTTAAAAAAATTAGTAGCAGACATTATCGCAGATATCCCCTCCCCCTCATGTTAAGCTTTCAATTAAAAGACTTCCGAAGGCATCAAGTTAAGGCTCCAAGGGCAAGCTGATAAAGAGCACTGTAGGAAAACTGCAGAAGTAATGCCATTTATTCATTAAAATGGTCACATTATTTTTAAAAATATATTTTTATTGGTTTCAGAGAAGAAAAAGGAGAGAGAATAATTGGTCAGTTGCCTCCTACACCCCCCACACTGGGAATCAAGCCCACAACCTGGGCATGCTCTGACAAGGAATTGAACTGTGACATTCTAGTTCATAGGTTGACGCTCAACCACTGAACCATGCCAGCCAGGCTAAGAATACCTCAATTCATCTGAAGAATTACATGAATTTAAAATCAGTATATAAGTTGATAGGGCATTTTCTTTTTAAATATGATCCAAGACTAAAAGAGGTGTCCTTTCTTTTTAGACAAAACCACAGAAGATCCCTTCGCTATCACTGAACATACTGATCCAGTGAAGGTACATAGTCAATACTGAAACTTCCTGAAGAGGGCAAAAATAGAAAGTTTAAGGTATTGCCAGTAAAAGGTGCTGTAGAGTTAACAGCCTACAATGGTTAGTCTAACACTGATCCAAGTAATCTTCATATCTTATTTCTAGACAATGGGAAACTGTAGGAGTTTGCATAGTAAATCACCTAGTGAGAATTTGATCCTACGGTGAGAAACTTCTTTATAAATGCTACAAAGTCCAAGCTGCCATCCAATACTACACAAGCATATAAACTATATATAAAAAGGCGCCATTGGAGGAATCATTAACATAAAAAATGTCTTCCCTCATCAGTTTAAAAGTGTGAAGAACTCATGTGATCAAATTCTGTTTTAAATACATTAGCATGCCAGTCTTGTTATACAAGTAGCCACATTATCAATAGGATTATGTAATGTGGAAGAAGTGTTGGCGCAGGAGGTGTTTGAACTCTGCCTTTGGTTCTAGGATAAACCAGGCAGTTACATAATTTCAAAATGTGAAAGACAGACATTCTGAGATATCAAGGCTTGACAAATCATCACGTGATTCACAAGCTCTACATATTATACAGCCACACAGGTAAGAACTAAATTCAGGTACACAAAAGAGTGGTAAAATGTCAATCTGCAAAAGCTGCAATTTTCTATGGCAGTTTGTCAGGTAGTCAGTCTTGTATTAGCCTGGATCCTTCTGCAATTGCTATCTTCACCTTGAACTCTCACATTCGACTTGAATGAGAACCTAGGTCCGAGGAAGTAAAAGCCAACAACCGCTTACTCAACAGTGCATTGTGTCTCTTCAGGTATACTATTATGTCTCCTTGCTTTTCAATAATTTCTTCTAAACTTGAAATAGTCCTACAAAGAATCAAAATATTAATGGGTTACACATATTACCAATACTCATTGGTCTCTTTACAAATGGGTCCCAACCAATTGAAAACTATTGAAAAGTAAAGCATATTGCATTTGGTACCTTTCGTAGATATTTTAAGCCAAGGCAACATCCCAAAATGAGATTCTTTCATTTAACTGGGCTTCACCACAGCTAAAAGGAAGTAGCATCAAACCTATTGGCACATATTGCTCAGTGAATAGAGCTTCAGTCCACACAGCAAAGGATTGTGTACCTGAGTTGCAGGTTCCATCCCTGGCCTGCGTCAGGGCACATGCAGGAGGCACCCAATCCATGGGCTTTCACATTGATGTTTCTCTCTCTCCCACCCTCCCTCTCTTCCACTCTCCCTCAAAATCAATGAGGAAAAAAAAATTGTTGTGTGAAGAATAACAACAAAAAAACCACAAACCTAATTCTATAGGCACAGATGCAGAGTCATAATCTCCAAGTAGAATGGTTTCTAGATTTTGGTGTGTGTGTGTGTGGGGGGGAGTAGAGGGAGGGAGGAAATTATTTCTCTTTCAACTTCTATTTCCCACTCAAAGCTTACCTGAATCCAGTCTCTGAAGTAATATTGCTAGGATATGCATGGACTTTTTCTTCTTCAAGTATATCAGGCTGTGGTTTGACTTTATTAAATTTTCGAACCTTCACTAAAATATAAAGTCATTATTGTCAGGTTACCTAATTATAAAAAATACTTTTATTTCCATTTATTCAAATTACATGAATAGGCTACTTTCAAAAAAGGTAATATCATAAAAATGCTTCACAAAGAGAAATGTTCTTTTTTTTTTTATGTATTCAAACATTTGAAAGTTTATCATGTGACAAACCTGTACTAAGCATGGGGAACACAGTGATCATTGCTATTATTGATTATAATAACAGGGATTATTTCTTTGTGGACTGGAAGCACAGAAGGCACAGGGGAACTATTTGACTGGAACTCATTCAATTCTCAGAACCTCCCCTTATGGGGGTTGCTTTTATTACTCATTTTCGACAGTCAAGTCAAGTGCAGTCCAACAAAGCTGGATAAGTAGCCAGGGCTCTAATCTGGGAAGCAGGGCTCTGAAGCTTCCACTGTGGACACTACCCTATGACAGAGCTACCAAACCAGAGAAAAATACAAATAAATATATCTCCCAGAACAGGATAAAAAGGACCATAGAGCAGAGCTTGCACAGGGGCTAGGACACCCCTGGAAACAGCCCCTTACTCAGCAGGAGGGATGTGCAAGTGGGGGGAGGTTCAGAGAGAAGGAAGAAGGTAGGACTTGAGTTCAGCCTTGAAGGAAACATGGAAAGACTGGAGAAGGTGTGTGTTTTTTTGTGTGTTTTTTTTAGGGGGGGCGGGGGGAGATCCAGTACAAATACTTAGGATCCTGAGAAGGAGAAAGAGAGAGTGAGGATGTGTGTGAAAGTGTGTGTGTGTTTTTAATTAAGTACATACTTGTAAAAGTTACATTGAGATGATTAGCTTTAACACAACAAGATAGCTTTAGGAACAAAACAAAACACACACTCACACACTCACACACTCACACACTCACACACACACACACACACACACACAAAAACCCACCACCAAAAAAAAAAGCTATTTTACTGCGTCCTAAATTTTCCATCTCTTGTCTTAAAGGAGGTAGTCAAGATTACACTTTTAGTAGAGTAGGGGCTTGGATACCACTAGCCCACCCAGAAAAACTTTCCGCATATCAGTTGAACTAAAAATATTTCTTTCATAAATAACTCAGTGAGCACTAGCACAGGGTCAAGTACCTAGCCTTAAGTTAACAAGTGTTCTATTGTGTGTATTTCATTGTCAGACATTCAAGGCAATGGTCAGGTAGAGTGAGACAAAAAGCCTACAAAGGTTATCAATAAACTGAGAGCTTTAAGAGAAGAGACAGAAGGTTCTTAAATGATTTATCCCAAAGCAACGTTGGCCTTAAGCAATTTTGCATGCATTGTTTATGCACTTATTTTGTAGTTTGTTTCTTTTAATCGTAAATGCAAGATTTACATGTCAGCTGCCTTTGAGGAATCAAACGGTGGTGGTCTTCGGGGAATTCTTTGTTTTATACTGGAAAGGCTTCCCTTTAATTGACAGAAACTTGTGGATGATACACAACTAAAAATGAGGCTCACTGGTATCTTCCTGTGGATTTGAAATTAGAGAAGTCTGAATGTCAGCAATGAGAGATACGGGTGCTCAACAGGTTCTCAGCTACATAAAAAAAGCTCTGGAAACAACTTCCTTGATCTCAAAAGAGTGGGGCTTCAAGCTGGACTTTGTAAGAACAGCCTAGCTGTAGTTCTCACCTGTGTAGATGAGCAGACATGTCAGGGAACCGATCAGTTCCAGGGCCAGGATGGCCAGAATGAGGTCAAGATACAACCTGCTGGGCTCTGGGAAGGTATGCTGTATGCACAGTGTGAGGAGGAGAGCAGTGCTGCCTGGAGGAGGAAATAACCACAGTGTTAGCCAGAGCCAGGTGACACTACAAGGCCATGCACACCCCCACACCCCTTTTAAACAGGAAGTGAAGGAAGTTGGAGGATAAAAAACAAAAATCTGCTCATCTTTTGAGGGAGGAATAAAGGTAAACAAAACATCAAAGAGTTAATGATGTCTCCTAATACCAATATATAAGAAACTGAACTTTCTTAAACACTAAGAAATGGTTTTTTGCTTCATAGAATTATTAACAATGACATTCCTTTGGGTCATCCGTTGTGCAGGGTGGTTTTTAGAAATTTGCATTATCCCAGTTCTTCCGCATTCATGGGTACTTGAGGAACCTAGTATACATTCCGCCCACCACTTACGCTCCCGGCAGACCTACACGGCCTTTAGGAGCACTGCGATGCTCTAGACACTTGGGTGAAAATCCAGACATACTGCTAACCTTGGAGAAATGCCTGATTTCCTCTGCTCCTTGACTTTCCCATCTGAAAAATGGAGATAACTATCTTTCTCACAGTGACATTGTTGTTCTTTTTTTTTTCATTTTAAAAAATATTTTTATTATTATTGATTTTAGAGAGGGAGGGAGAGGGAGAGAAGGACAGAAACATCAATGATGAAAGAAAATCATTGAGGATCAAGCCCGAAACCACTGAGCCACGGCCAGCCTGGCTGACTTTTTTTTTTTTTTTAATTTCTTTTGATATATTTCTTTCATATTAGTTTTTAAAATAAATTTTTATGGATTTTAGAGAGAAAGGGAGAAAGATAGAAATACCAGTGATGGGAGAAAATAATTGATTGGATGCATGCCTTCCATGGAGGATCGAGCCCGCAACCCAGGCATGTGCCCTGACCAGATATTGAACTGTGCCCTCCTGGTTGACACTCAATCTCTGATCCACCCAGCTGGGCTCTTTTAGTTCTTTTTATGAACTAAAGCCATTAATTTACTTTGACCCTGGGCTCCTCCTATTTAAATTTGGGAAAATAATACTTGTCATTCAATCCTGAGTTTAAAATGTATTTTAAAATGTTTTTATTCATTTTTAAAGAGAGAAAGTGAGAGGGATAGATAGATAGAAAGAAAGAAACATCGATGAGAAAGAAACATCTTTGATCAGCTGCCTCCTGCATATCCACTATTGGAATCAAACCAGCAACCAGGCATGTGGCCTGACCAGGAATCAAATCAGTGACCCGTTGGTTCATGGGTTGACGCTCGACCATTGAGCCACACAGGCTGGGCATTAAAATATATTTGGATCTAAGGAACGAGGACAGATAAGTTAGATAAATATTTTCAACTTATTTAGAAGAAAAGCCCCTTCTCCCATCTCCCTAAAATAAATACATTTTCTTCTCTAGAGAATAACAAAAAGTATCAGGATGAAACTAATCAATATCCAGCAATACTCAGAGTTGGACAGGGGGGTGGTAAGAGATCAACCAAAGAAATTGTATGCATATATACATAAAACATGGACACAAATGATAGGGTGGTAAAGGCCTGGAGTCGGGGGTAGGGGGGTGGGGGGGAGAAGGGGTGCCTAGAAGGAGTTAATAGGGGGAAAAAGAGGACATATGTAATACTTTAAACAATAAAGATTTTAAAAAATATATCCAACAATACTATCACACCTGACTTTAAAAATGGTTATACTCTTCTTATTAGCTGGAGTTTCTGTATCTTCTATAATTTATCTCTTTTTCTTCAAGTAAGAAAAAGATACAAGAAAAACAGAAACAAGGTGAATACCTGCCCCAATCTTTTTGATATTCTGAATCCTTATATGAGCAACATAAAAGTGATGCCATCTGCGATTAAACTAAGGGTCCAATTATTTAGAAACATTATGATTAAGGGTCACATTTTTAACAATAATTTGAAAGTCATTTTGGTGGACTCATAATAACTATTTCCAGAAAATCTCTTATAATGGAACATTATTTTGGTTATAGAGCATATACGGTCTTTCAGTAATCAAAAAACAGATTTTTGCCCAGGCCTGTGCGGGTCAATTGTTTTGAGCATGGTCCAAATCATCAAAAGTGGCAGGTTTGATTCCCAGTAAGGTACATGCCCAGATTTTGGGTTCAGTCCTCTGTTTGGGTGCCTTTAAGAGGCAACAGACGGATATTTCTCTTTCTTTCTCTCTTCCTCTCTAAAATCAATCAAAACACTTAAAAAAAAAAAAAAAAAGTTTTCTCATCGCCCCCTCCACCCAAAGGAGATAGTGACACCTTCTGGCCAGGAGAGCGCATTACACATCAAGTGGAACATAAAATCTATGGTTTTTTCCTCAGGGAGCAAGCAGTTAATGTCTGTCCTCCCCTTCTGGATGATCACAGGTCAGCCATCTCTATAAAATGGGCTTTCTCGGCTAGCAGGCCCTCATCTCCACTAAAAATGTCACCGAGTGGATGAACTTGCAGGTTGCAGTTTGTCCTTAAGTAAATGCACTAGCACAGAATAAAAATAAAAATTAATTTCTGTAATGCTGTTTTTTTCTGGCAAAAAAGTATTCATTTCTAATCTGGTTTAAAGATTTATTCTGGACTCGCAGTCAAATAGGATATTTTAACATGATAGAAGCTTTATAATAACTTAAGGCAAAACTACCTACCTAAAGAAGCTCAGTTTAATTCCATTTAGCCTTTGAAACAGTAAAGAAAAGCAGGCACTCATTATTCGAAATGCTGATATTGCCTTCATAATTTGCTTTTCTTTTTTTTCATTTTGGATAATGCATCTTATTATGTAACAGTTTCTCTCTTACTACAAGAATAGTACCGAGTTTCATTTAAAATTCCCTCTTCTTATCTTACAGGTATAAAATCACAGCAGCATTTCTATCTCCTTGAGATGAATAATGAGATACAAATACATGGACACAGCAATACATGCATACCATGTTCATAATGAAGGAGTAGAAAATGCCACCTGCAGATGTAACTCTTTGGCAGAAGGATTACTTTAAGCCGATTATTTTCAAGGAACAGCAGACACAAGGGAAAAAGCTCTGAAAACACAAATTATCCATGTGTAAGACTGTCTCCCTCTCTGTACCAGGAAGAGAAGGATGATTCTAAATCTCAAGAAATTGTTATCAATGGAGAAGGCATCTACTTAAATCTGCTCAACAGCTTTACCCTTGTTTTCTTTGCTTTTCTTGTAACCTCCCCTAACTGCCTCCCTCCCCAGCATCTTCTTTTGTCTTTAGCTGGAGATGGTATTTAAGGTAGTGGCTTTGGGCCATTTTGGGGTGTTATCTGAGTATCTGTATAGAGCATGCATGTTATTAAACTTGTTTGTCTCCTGTTAATTTGCCTTTTATTACAGTGGGGATCTCAGACAAATAAATGAAAGGTAGAGGAAAAATTATATTCCCGCCCCTATAATAACTAACACATATTTCAAAGGAAAAACGAAGCTTATATATATATTATAAAAAAAGCTTCAAGACATTTAGGTGATCCAAAATTTAGCTGCCACAACACATATCAGTCTCACAAAACTGAGAATCTACAGTAAGTCCTGACTTAACTTTGTGAACAGGTTTCTTTGACATTAAGTAAAACAGCATATAAAGAAACCAATCAGACCATAGGCTATTGATATAAATAAGAGTTAAGTTCCTATGGCATCCCATCAACATTTTAACAAAATGATGCTGAATGAAATGACATTATTCAAGGACCTGCTGTATCCTATCTAATAAAAGAGTAATATGCAAATTGACCATCACTCTAACACACAAAGATGGCCACCACAAGATGGCCAACAGGGAGCACAGTTGGGAGGGATTAGGTCGGCAGAGGAGGGAAATTGGCACAACCAGGTCTAAGGGAAGGGCATTTGGGGAGGACCCAGGCCCGCAGGTGAGAGCAGTTGGGAGGGACCAGGCCTGCAGGGAAGGGTAGTTAGGGGTAATTGAGCTGGCAGGGGAGCAGTTAGGCATCCATCAGGCTGGCAGGGAGTGGTTAGGAAGTGATCAGACTGGCAGGCAGAAGCAGTTAGGGGTAATCAGGAAGGCAGGCAGGCGAGCAGTTGAGAGCCAGCAATCCTGGAGAGGGATGTCTCAGATTGGAGAGGGTGCAGACTGGGCTGAGGGACGCCACCCCTCATACACAAATTTCATGCACCAGGCTCGTAGTTTGATTATAAAATCAAGTTTTCAGATTTTCTTTTTGCTGTAATTTTTGTTACTCAACAAAACCACAGACAAGCTGAGAAATACAACTGGGCTTACCAGTGGAGTGTATCATTAATGCAAGTCTTTTAAGGTGCCTTGTCGATCGGTAGATCATGTGATAGCCTCGGTTTCTTACTTTGCTGTGGTGATACTGAATGTAGCGCTCAAGAAGGAAATGCAGAATCCACAAAATAACTTTTCCAAGGATTATGACTGTCTGAACTTTCAGTGGGTTAGTGTAGTTTCCTGGGCACTTGTCCTCATTTGGATTAGGGTAAGAACAAAGCACACCTGTTAAAAATGCTAAAATAACAAACACAACCTAGTGGAAAGGAAAATAGTAGGTTTAATATTCAATATTTAGATTTCAGAAACATTATCACCATCCCACCACATACCCTTTATGCTTATGACATTTTGTTTTTATTTTATTTTTATTTTTATTTTTTTTAATATATTTTATTGATTTTGTACAGAGAGGAATGGAGAGACAGAGAGTTAGAATCATCGATGAGAGAGAGTCATCGATCAGCTGCCTCTTGCACACCCCCTACTAGGGATATGCCCGCAACCAAGGCACATGCCCCTGACCGGAATCGAACCCGGGACCCTTCAGTCCCCAAGCCGACGCTCTATCCATTGAGCCAAACCGGTCTCGGCTGACATTTTGTTTTTAAATTTAATTTGATTTTTCCAGCAACTTTTAGCCCCTCTAACGCTCCTCCACCACTGCAATTACTGCACTGTTGTCCAAGTCTGTGATTTCTCTCTCCTTTTTTCTTTTCTGCTCAGTTCTTTCACTGCCTCTAAGTTTATGTTTCTGATATCCGATTTTTATAAATAAGTTTTAAAAAACTGCATTTTTACAGACTTTTAAAAAATATATTTTTATTGATTTCAGAGAGGAAGGGAGAGGGAGAGAGATACAAGCAGCAATGATGAGAGAAAATCATCGATTGGGTGCCTACTGCATACCCACACTGGGGATTGAGCCTGAAACCCAGGCATGTGCACCTGACCAGAATCAAACCGAGGACCCTTCAGTCCTGCAGGCCTATGCTATACCTATTTATTGATTTCAGAGAGGGAGAGAGAGAGAAACATCAATGATAAGAGAGAATCACTGACCAACTGCTTCCTACATGCCCCACACCAGGAACCAAGCCTGCAACCCAGGGATGTGTCCTTGACCCGAATCGAACCCAGGACTCTTCAGTTTGCAAGCCAACACTACATCCACTGAGCCAAACCAACTAGGGCTAGTATGCACATTTTAAATGTTGATAAATATAACCAGTTTAATATATTTTTTATTGATTTCAGAGAGAAGATGGAAGAAGGAGAGAGAGAAACATCAATAATGAGAAAGAATCATTGATTGGCTGCTTCATGCATGCCCTCCACTGGAGATCCAGCCTAGAACCCAGGCATGTGCCCTGACCAGGAATCAAACCCTGATCTCCTGGTTCATGGTTCAAAGCTCAATTATTGAGAAACACCAGGTGAGCGTATGTATTTTTTAAGAAAGTCACCTATACACTGTCTCAAAGACACCCTTCCTTTTTATAGCTGCATAGTATTCCATTGTGTAAATGTACTACATCTTTTTTAAAAATATTTTTTTTTATTGATTTCAGAGAGAAAGGAAGGAGAGATAGAAACATCAATGATGAGAGAGAATCATTGATCTGCTGCCTCCTGCACATTCCCCATTGGGGATCAAGCCTGCAACCTGGGCATGTGCTCTTGACTGAAATCGAATCTGGGACCCTTCAGTCCACAGGCCAACACTACTTCACTACTTCTATTATAGAGCCAAACCAGCTAGGGCTGTATCACATCTTTTTAATCCACTAATATAGTGACAGGCACTTGGGCTGTTTCCAGATCTTAAAAAAAAAAAAAAAAAGGAGGATCTTTTACCCTTTGAGACAGCATGGAGGGGCCTGGAGAGTATTATACTAAGCAAAATAAGCCAGTCAGAGAAACACAAGTATCACATGATCTCACTTATGGAATCTAATGCATAAAATAAGCTGCCAAACAAAATAGAACCAAAAGATAGATATAGAGACAGTAAAGCAACAAGCAGACTGTCAAATTACAGTGGGGAGGGGAGGGAGATTTGGGGGAGATAAGACATCAGCCGAAGGACTTGTATGCATGCATGTAAGTACAACCAATGGACAAAAAACTCTGGGGAGGGAGGGCATGTATGGGGGGGGGGGGCGCGCAATGGTAAAATATATAAATAGATAATAATTTAATAATAATAATAATAATAATAATAATAATAATAATAAAATAGATCCAGAGACACTGAAGCATGCAATAGAACGAAAAATTTCAGGGGGTTGGGGGAGAGGGGGTTAGGAAGAGACTAACCAAAGAACTTATATGCATATACATATAACCCATGGACACAGACAATAGTGCAATGAAGGCATGAGGAAAAAAACGAGGACATCTGTAATACTTTCAACAATACAGATAAATTAGGGGAAAAAAGAAAAAGAACATCACCTCTAGATGGATCGCTTTCTCGCAGCAAACTTACATGTATTAACAGAAGAAGATGTGCTATAATGACCGTAGGAAGAGGATGGAATCTGGGTCTAAAATGAGCCTGTAAGGAATACTGTGAAAGATGCTGGCAGTCCAGAAGGGGGTCATCTTCAACACTTTGGGATGGATCCAAGGAACCCTGGGGTGTAGGAAAAAGAAAGCAAGCTATAATTACCACTTTGTGGGTTACGTTTCCTAGACAAATTTACTAAATTATAAAGCTTTAAAAAGCGTTATACAAGTTAGAGGGAAAACACACACACACACTCCCTACCTAAAGCCAATTTTGATTATAGATAAACCTCTGTAACTTATATATACAAATTGGCAAAAACAACAATCATTAAAACAGGTAGAGGACATCTTCACTTATCTTCAAACAAGGTAATACATGAGACTAAAGCAAATAATTTTCTTCAAGCCCTCAGTACTTAGAGGTGAAGGCTTTATTCAGAGGACTTAAAAAAAAAACTTTGTTATGATAGAAATATTTTAGAGTACTAATAGAACAGAGTACCCTGACAGACCTTCCAAGGAGACTTTAGTTTGTAGATGTCAGATTCTCAATGAGAGCAACCACTTGCAATGTCACTGAAGTAATTGGCAAAAGTTCAGCTGCTACTTTAAAAATCTACTTAATCATGTTTAACAGTATTGTCTTGACAGAACAGTACTGTCCAGTCTCTGTTGCATACAAAAATCTCTCAATGTCAGATTCTTAGCTAGTGCGGTCCAGTGGTTGAGCACTGATCTATGAACCAGGAGGTCACAGTTTGATTCCCTGTCAGGATACATGCCCGGGTTGCAGGCTCAATCTGCAGTGGGGGGGGCATGTAGGAGGCAGCCGATTGTTTATTCTTTCTCATTATTGATGTTTCTATCTCTCCCTTTCCTTTCTTCTCTGAAATCAATAAAAATTTATTTAAAAAAAAAAAGATCCCCCCCCCCTTAAGGAAAACTGTTATATAAACTTAAGACACAGTCAAAAGGAAATTACATTTTTCATTGGGGAGGCCAGGGTAAAGGCATGCATGACTAAACAACATACAGTAGAATATAGTGCACAGGATTCTATAGGGGAGTAATAAATTAGCAAATGAATAGCACAGATAATGCAACAAATTTAGGTTAACTAGGTATCCTAGAATGAGAGGGAAATTATGTCTTAATTTGCAAAAGGGAAGCTGGAGAATAGAATTAGAAGACAGAAGATAAGGGCTTTCTACTTTGGAAGGGGTAGAGGATGCTATATTGGTCACTAGCATTAGATAGATAATTCAGTAATGTGGGGCTTTGATTTCCAATCTTAGGCATTCAATGCTGCTCCACAATTTTTAAAATCCTCACCCAAGGATATGTTTCCACAGGTTTTAGAGAGAGAAGGAAAGAGAGAGAGAAAAACATCAATGTAAGAAACAAATGGTTGCCTCCTAAACTCTCCAGGACCACTGGGGATCAAACCCACAATCTCAGTATGTGCCCTGGCTGAGAACTGAACTGACAACCTTTGGGTGTGTGAGACCACACTCCAGCCAACTGAGCCATCCAGCGAGGCCACTGGTCTGCAATTTTTAAAAATCAATGCCTAGATAGTTTCCTGTTTAGTTGCCAAAACTCACGGTACAATTCTGATTACTACTTCTATTCTCTTCAAACTCCTTTGCCTCTGGCTCTTTCTCGTCAGCAGATGTAGTTTCCACAGCTCTTTCCTTAGCTAATGTCCATGCAGCCTTCCAGGCTCAGTTGGGACAATTCCCATGGGTAGCCTTCCCGGGTAGCCAAGCATCTCGATCATGCCACCCTGCCCAGTCTCCCCAAGCATTTGGTGCCGACCTCCTCTAGCACACTATCCTGTGATGGTCTCCTTACTTACTAGTATGTCTTCCCCAACAGACTTTACGAGACCCACTCTCCCCACTTCCTATGTATTTGTAATGCTATGACCTGTGGTTGGCACTCAGGGAACACGTGATGAATGAAAGTTCCAAACCTGTCCTGGCAGTGTTCCCTCACTCAGTTCTGGTATCTCATAATCAGGAGAGATTATCAAGAGCTGTAGGGACCATCAACAGTAAGTGCCGTGGTTAAGGGCAGGCTCCTAGGACAAACTGGCTGGGTTCAAATGTAAGTTCTACTTCATCCCTCTGTGCCTCAGTTTCCTCATCTTTAAAAGGAGAATAATTATAGGACCTGCTTCGTAGCTTTGTTGGGAAGATTAAATAAGTAACTACACATAAAAGTCCTTAGAACACTGATAGGTACAGAGTAAGCAATCAATAAATATTAGCTACTATTATCTCTAATTCTTGCTTTGCCATTGATAATATTCATTACCATGTAATATTCATTATCATATAATATGCATTGCCATGCAATACAATATTCCTTACCATTTGAACTCCCAAATCTGTTCTTTCCTCTATTCTCACTATCTCTGTCAAGGCTCTCATCATTTTTCAAGGCCTGTGCTAATACCTTCCAATCTCTAGACCTTTGCAATTCTCACTGCAGAGTTCTTCCAAAACAAACATTCGCATCTCTCTCCCCCAAACCTTGGGCACCTCCCCATTATTCGCAAAGTCCGAACACTTTATCTGGCTATGTGCTTTACAATCCATTCCCAAGTTACCTTCCAGGATTTGCCTCTCACCACTTTCCTCCCTCCTTCCTGATGTCAGCTGCTGTGCCTCCACCTTTCAAATACCTGTCCCAGCAAAAATGCTGTCTTCTTAATGCCTCAACACTGCTCCTATGCCCTTTTCACCTGACATTGTAGTTTTCATATCTACAAGTTTGACTTGGGCCTATTTTATATCTTCCATGTGTCTTTAAAACCTTTACAATACATAGAAAGCTGTTATAATTTTTAATGTCTCTTATTTCTAGCTTGAGACTGTCATTTCTGGATCAGTTTCAATGGACTCATACACCTCTCTTTTATAGCTTACTAGAGGCCCAGTGCATGAATTTGTGCACAGGAGTCCAGCTGGCCCGGCCCCAATCAGGGCAGATAGGGACCGGGTCTGTCAGGAGGAGGAGATGGCGGGAGGTTGGCCAGCTGGCCCAACCCAATCAGCCAATCAGGGCTGGGATGGCTGGGGGAAGGGGCCGAGGGCGATTGGCCAGCTGGCTCTGCTCCCAGTTGGGGTGGATTGGAGGGGGGGGCGGAATTGGCTGGGGGTAAGGGGCTACGGCCCCCTAGGGTAACTCAGTTAATTCTGGGCATAAATATGTTTCTCCTAAAAATGTTTTTATATACTTAAATATTATTTGCAATTATGCTATCACTCCGAACACTGGGCTTTATATATATATATAAACCTGGTTTGGATCCATCTAAAGGAGACTCAGAAGTCCTTTCATCCCTACCATACCTGCCTAAATTCAAAACATCCCATTGTTTTCCTCCAAAGTCGGTTTTCTGTAGATGCTAGCCACAGGTCTGCCCGTGGGACGCGGGCGGCTGGCCTGCCTGTTGCAGCCGCTCCAGGTCCACATCACAGCCCTTCAGAGCCAAGGGGGGAAGGGGCCCGCTAGGAGGGGAGATTCCCGCAGGCGCCCCAGCGCGATGGAGCGGGGCCCAGCGGCCGGGCGCCCGGGACGCGCCAGGAGCCCGGGCGGTGAGGCCAGCGCGCTCCGGGGGAGCCCCAGTTCCGGGATCACAGCTGCGCCAGGCACGTGGGCTGGGCCCCCGCCTGGAACCCGGAACCCGCAACCCGCGCAGCCACCATCGAGCGGACTCCCGGGAAAATATAAGGCCGTAGCAGGGCCCGTCGCCGACCCACCCCACCTGGATGCCTCCTATGACCGCGCGCCTTCCCCGCCCCGCTACCCCCACCCCCCCACCCCCGGGCCGCCCCGCGCAGGAAGCACCGCCTCCCGCCCGGGACGCACGGGGTGAGGGTGGCTTCCCCGCGCAGTCTCCGCCCAGCGCGCCCAGGACAGGAAGAAGGGATTCCGGGGCCAGCCGCCCGCCACTTGCGTGCACTTACATCTTCCAGCCTGCCCCCCGCAGCCATTTCCCGACGCTTGAGGCCGAAGCCCGGGCCGGCCCGGCCCCTCCACCTGTTCACGGGCGCGGCGGGCCCGGGAAATTGCCACCTTCAGGGACCGGCCCGCCCCCACTCCAGACACACCCGCTCCGGCGCCGGCCCCGCCCCGTCCTCCCGTGGCCCCGCCTCCTCGCTTCCGATTGGTCGAGGCAGGGGCGTGTCCCGCCCCGGAGACCGGACCCGTGGGCCGCAGCTGCCGCGTGACCTTGGTTCCTAGGGATTCCCCCCTCTGCGCAGGTCCGCTATTGGCCAGAGTCTTGGACATTAATTAAAGGATGTATTACAAGTCCAAGAATTTAAAACATTTTCGGCCTCTCCTTGCTTCTTTTTAAAACGTTTACTCTTTTCATTCTTAGGTTTTGTTTGCAGGCATAGCTCCAGGCATAATTAGAACAAGTTAGAATTTTAAAGTTCCCATTTTTAATTTATTTATTTATTTATTTATTTATGTTTATAAAGAGATTTATTTTCTTTTTTATTTATTTATTTATATATTTTATTGATTTTGTACAGAGAGGAAGGGAGAGAGATAGAGAGTTAGAAACATCGATGAGAGTGAGTCATCGATCAGCTGCCTCTTGCACACCCCCTACTGGGGATATGCCCGCAACTAAGGTACATGCCCTTGACCGGAATCGAACCCGGGACCCTTCAGTCCCCAAGCCGACGATCTATCCATTGAGCCAAACCGGTTTCGGCGAGTTCCCATTTTTTAGCTCAAACACCAGCAGAGGGGCACGAACAGAATAAAGATTCTAACCCCTATGACATATTCACAGATGTCACCGATGGGCATGAGTAAAGAAACCAAATTATAGGTCAGTCTCTCAGGCTTTGCTCATCTGGAGCTCCCTTTTCTGGCTCTGATTCAGTTCGGAATGAGCAGACTCAATCCTGTGTCAGGAGACGCTCTCCTGTGTCTGAGTCTTTCCTTGTATAATGCTTTTAAGAGTAAACAGTTTTACTCTTTTTCAACTTGAGCTGTATATTTTTTAAAATAATCATTCCCCGGTTAATGGATTACTTAGCGAATGGTATTGGGAAAAATAGCTAGCCATTTGGAAGAAAAAAAGCTGGATCACTCCCACATACCTTAAACCAAAGTAAATGTCTAATACTGTAGTTCAGAGACTTAAACATAAAAGTGAATCGACATAAGTTCTAGGGGGGAAACAATAACAGTTTTACAATAAAGATTATTCATGCATGACCCCGAACCCAGAGGAACTAAAGAAAAAAGTGTGCCCTGGCTGTTTGGCTCAGGGATAGAGAGTGGGCAGGAGGGTGGATTTCTTCCACAGGAGGAGGCAGCCCACCAATGAGAGCTGGAAACCCGGCATGAGACCTGATCACCAACTGTGATCTCTTGGTTCATAGGTCAAAGCTCAACCACTGAGCAACACCAGCTAGGCTAAAAAAGTTTGGAATACATACAAAACTGCTTATCATCAAATTGGAAATAAAAAAGTAAGATCATTCAAAAAAAGGCATGATGTTACATATAAAGAATGCCTTAAAGAATCCACAAAAATAGTCTTAGAGCTAATAAAGAGTTTGGCAATTCTTAAAAAAGCTAAACATAGAATTACCATAGGACCCAGCAATTCCAATCTTAGGTATATATTCAAAGGAATTGAAAGCAGGCACTTGTATTGCCAATGTCCATTACAGACTTGTTTACAAGCGCCAAAAGGTGGAAACAATTCATGTTCATCAATAGACAAATAGATTTTTTAAAATGTAATATACTATCCATAAAAAGGAACAAAGTCCTGATACTTGCTACAACACAGATAAACCTTGAAATTATTATGCTAAGTGAAATAAACCAGATACAAAAGGAGAAATATTATGTAATTCCACTTATATAAAATATCTAGAATAGACAAGTTTTTAGATATATAGAGGTTACCAAGGGCAAGATGGAAGTAGATAGAGGTTACCATCTGGGAAAGATGGAAGTGAGAGATTATTGTTGAGTAGGTAAAGATTTCTGTTAAAAAAAAAAAATCTGTTTGAGATAATGAAAATTAGAGGATACATAGTGGTGATTATTGCACAGTATTAAAATGGAATTAATGCCACTGAATCTTACACTTGAAATTAGTTAACATGGCTCCTGCTGGTAACTCAGGTGGTTGGAGCATTGTCCCATACACCAAATAGGATGTGGGTTCAATTCCCAGTCCCGGTGTGTATAGGAGGCAACCTATCCATGTTCTCTTCTCCTCTCTCCCTCTCCCTTTCCCCCTTCCTCTCTCTCTAAAATCATTGGATGAGGATTTAAAAAATAGTCAAGATGGCAAATATGTTATAAATATCAAAATAAAAACAGAGTTAAAAAAAAAAAGTTTGGAATATACCACAAAACTGCTTATCATGTAATTGTGAATCACACAGGATTCTAATGCTTAAAAACATTTTTTAAAGAGCAAATGTTAAAAGCAAGTAGTTCACAGAAATAGAAAGGCAAACAGAATAAGAAACATATGTTTAATCTCACAATCTTAAAAACGGAAAATAAAATAACAAAAGATGCCATTTTACCTATCAGATTGCTGAAGACAAAATTATTAATGAGAGTGTGGGAAACAATCATGCATTATTAGAAGCAGTGAATTACAGTAATATTTTGAGGACACTTTGACAAACCTACCTAATAAACATTTACCCAGGTTTTAAATACTTATTTATTCTTTGACTATAGATTTTTTTCTGCAGTTGTACTTAAAAAAGTGAGAAAGATACTTGTTGCAAAATTATTTCTAAAACTTCCTCTTTATTAAAAACAGTAATAACCTAAATATTTGTCAATGGGGAACTAGTTAAATAAAATGCTGTATCAATGGAAGTTGACATTAAAAGCCCAGGGGTAGATACATATGCATGCATTTATATGTTCTTCAGAATGATAGCCAGGTAAGAGCAACTCAATTTGGAAATATGTTTATATATATGTTTCCATTTGTATGAAAATACCTGTTACATATTTGTTTTTGTACAATTATGAAAATTTTTGCAAGAATATACCAGAATCATTCAGTTATTTCTTCTGAGTAGGACTAAGAATGTAGAATAATGTTTTCTTTCCTGTTCAAGTTTTTTCACACTCTGAAATTTTTACCATTCATTATTTTTTAAAGATAATTTTTAGTTTTTTATTTATTAATTTTTAGGAAGTGAGAGAAAAACAATGATTTGTTGTTCCACTTATGCATTCATCGGCCGATTTTTGTAGGTCATCTGCCCGGGGATCAAACTGTACCTTTAGCATATTGGTACGACACTCTAACCTGGCCTAGGCTATAACAACCCTGAAGATTTAAAAAAGATTTCTTTTTCTCATATAATTCACATTCAATTGACCTTTATCCTTTAGTGATAAATTAGCAAAGGTTAATCCAAGTATTCAGAGTTTAGAAGGTTATCAGGAGACAAAAGCCTTCCTCACCTACTTAGATTTTAGTTCACACCATTTTTCTAATTGACCCCCAATACTAATTATTTCCTGTCATCAATAAGAGTTTCATGGTTTATCCTTATCTCTCCTCCCTTCCCCCCCCCCACCTCCCCCACAAGCCCCGGACTAAACTTCAGACATTCTAGAGTGTAATCCATCACAGCCCGGAAGTGCACACGCAGCAAATGGTCATTGAATCGAACCCAGTCAAAGAGAAATGAGAGGAAAGGTATAAAAATAAAATACTAACGGAAGGTGGGAGGTGAGATGAACAGAGCAAGAAGGATATGGTGGAAGGAGACAGATGGGAAGGAAGAGGAGAGATGACAGAAAGGCAGCCCTTATAAAAGTTGAGGAGAGAGATATGGGAGCTGAGGGGCACCAGATTAGGCAGTCACACGTGCTTTGTATTAATCAGATCAAGATGTAGGTGAAACAGCAAGAGGGCTGGTAGGCGGCACAGGGAGATAAATAAGGTAAGGTGCCTGAGGCAGGGCAGGGGAGGCACCAGGTGAAAGATGAAACAGAGGGGCTGGAAACCGGGATCAGGACACAGGCTTTACTTGTGGAGAATACCACTGCCGGGCTGCCTTCCTAGAAGAAAGAGCACATGTGCCAGGGTGAACACGCCTTTTTTTTTTAATAATATATTTTATTGATTTTTTACAGAGAGGAAGTGAGAGGGATAGAAAGCTAGAAACATCGATCAGAGAGAAACATCTGCCTCCTGCACACCCACCACTGAGGATGTGCCTGCAACCAATGTACATGCCCATGACCGGAATCGAACCCAGGACTCCTGAGTCCGCAGGCCGATGCTCTGAGCCAAACCAGTTTCAGCTGAACAGGCTTTTTGAGGGGAGAAAAAGGAAGGGATGGGGCATAGGGCACTCAGCACACTCTGATTGGTGATTTCATGTAAGACACATGATTAGGGAACTAGGGACTTGGGAATTGGGGGCTTAGGGTATTTGGCAGGTGCTGATTGGTGGTTCAATGTACAGTCCATATAAGGTGCCTTGTTAGGTGCTCAGGAATATTCAGACTGCAGGTGGAGTTTACGTCATTCTCCATCCATCAGTTGGAGAAAGGGAGGATCTCTCACCAGGCACACGAACATTACTGGCTGGCAGTGAGAGGCAGAGCTGTCCCAGGCACTGAGCGAATGGCTACCTGGGGACAGGACTTTCCGCTGGGCCCTCAGCACACTGCCAGGCCGCTAACAGCAGCCAGCACTTCATGTGAGCAGATTTCTTGTTGGTTTGTTGTGCATCCTGCCATAAACTTGCAGGGTTTACTCCCAGAATGCCCCTGGGTCTGGGGCAGATTCATTGTCTGAAGTACAAGCTTTAAAGGCCAAGGGCATCTCAGTAGCACCTCCAAATGAGGAAAGAAGTGGGCGAGAAAGGGGCAACTGTTCCTCAGGCCTCGGCTTTATGGCGCACTGCAAGCCCAAGCTAATAAGCAAAGTGTTTTACATAAAAACGTAGGGTAAGAATTTAAAAGC